ATTGAGTTGCCATGCCCCGCAGCATCCCAGTCCACCGATAAGAATCATCAGCGCTCCAGCGCCGATCAACAGGTAGCATATTAGCGGAAAATGCTCGCTCGTCTGTGAAGTACCATTCACACCCAGGATACCATTGGCTGAACGATCCAGGAACAACCATAGACCAAGTGCCAAGACAAACAACCCGGAGAGCTGCAAATGCTCGTACAGTAAGGGCTAAATTCAGTGAAAAAAATAAAAACGGGCACCGCTCTCTATGTGTTGCGCAAAACTTCCCAAAAGCCGGCAAAGAAGTCGCAGCGAACAAAAACGCTGGTGGCGCAGTGGTATAGCACGTCGCGTCCGGATGCGAAAACGTCTGGTTCAATTCCTCCTGGCTCCCACTTATTTGCAAAAAAGGGTTCCATCCGCGACACTCTAGTCCTAGAAGAGCTTACTCCTTTTATGAATAATCCCGCACTATAAGGGAAAGCAAAACGAGAGGCGAGGAAGTGGGGAGAAAAAAGAGAAGGTGCCGAGAACCGAAATTATGTGGACGTACTGGCGCAACAGCAGTGGAATTTATGTAAAAATGTATTTGAGGTTTTTAATGATTACCGATTACTTTGATATCTTGTAAATAGAGTAATAAAGTTTGTTTGCCGGAAAAAAAAAACTGAGTAAAATTGTAATTTAAAAAACAGTAAAATTGTAATGACAAAAAAAAAACTCTGATTTTGTCAGCAGAACTGTTACAGGAGACGAAACGAACGTCAGGATCACCAGCAGGCTGGCCACTAAGGCGATGCTGCATCGGACAAAGCAATTGGTAAAGTTAAGCTGCCTGATAATCAGATAGCTATTCCACGAATGAAATATATTACTCATTTAAAATGAACATCGCTAACAAATCCAAAAAACAAACTTGTACCCTTAAAAAACTAGACCCTTCCCATCTTCCTTGCATGCTAATGATCCGTAAGACTGCCGCTGAAGAATGCTCGTCAAGGGAAGAATCTGAATTATCGTTTTTCGTGATTTAGTAAGTCAGGATTATTACATGCATAAAATTCGATTCCGT